TATACATTGTGATAGAACCGGGCCCAAAACGGACCCCTGTGGCACTCTGTACACCAAGGCAGCACTGCTGGAGAGACAGACATCGACTGCCTGCATTCTATTCTATCGGAGAGGTAGGACCTAAACCAAACCAAAACTGATCCCGAAATTCCAAAGTAATTTTTAAGGGTTTTGTAAAGGATTTCATGGTCAGCAGTTTCAAAGGCCGCACTTTTAAGAAATTGTATATATTTAATTAAACTACTTAGTTTATCATTAGTTACTATAATAATTATAATATTTATTTATTAATATTTATAAATTTATAACTAATTTAAATATTGAAACTCGTAAAACAAATCAATTTTAAATGATTAAAAACGTAAGATAAACCAGCGCTTAATATATAGATGACTTACTTTGCATAAAAAGCTTTTTTTTAAATTACAAGTTAGGTTATGTATATTTTTTATCATGTACAAGGCAGCAAAGGTGAAAATTCCGCCATCTTTGTAAACATTCTCTAAATATCTAAGGAAGATAGTATCGACATCATTTTTATATACCTTTTATAATCGATTACATCCAAATATTTTTCTTTAAAACTCAATGCGATACTTAATGAGAAAACAAAGGGTGGTAATCGAGTATAATACAAAAAAATGTTAAAATATATAAAATTTAGACCGGAATTTGACCTTTAAAAAATTGCTCCCCGAAGCGTTTTATTTTATTTCAAAGAATAAATTATTTTGTTTATTTTCACTGTCACAAGGCAAACCATTATAATTATATCTATAATTTAATGTAGCTATTGATACTGGCGTATGAAATGTATGAAAATGAAATGGGCCTAAATGAAGGGGGGGGGGGGGGGGGGGGGGAGAGAGATGGGTTCTGTCCACTTATTTAAGCATACAAAAATGCTATATTGACTTGTGTTTAACCGTTTGTTGTGTATTCTGTGAGTATTAGGGGCGGCAACGTCAAGTATTGCCATGGGCCCTTAAACTCTACCTACTCCATTGGCGCTGAGTAAAATACTTCTACCCGATAATGCATATATTAACATTATTAACAAACAAAATCGTACGGTGTTATAAGTATGACCCGAAATTTGAGGCGGGTGTATGAAAAATACGTTGAACTTCACCATTAGAATTAGACGATAACAAAAAAGTCAAAGTATGCAGTAAGGAGTTGGCCCAGTATGACAATTTCCACGGAAATAACGTCATGAGAAGGGAGCAACTCATTTTTCTAATGGTGCGATTTCTTATCACTGCAGATTGTTAATGTGACGTAGCCTTTATAATATATGCTACATGTTTAAAGCGTATATAGCACACTGAATGCTGCCTGTCATTAGGGTGACCAAACGTCCCGTAAAAACGGGATTGTCCCGTTTTTTCACGATCGTTCCCGGTGTCCCGAAAAACTCTCTCGGGACGCCTAAATGCCCCGTTTCTAAAACCAAACACATTTTCAAATCACTAAAACTTCCTAATTTAAAATAATGTTACATCAAGTCATATTTTGGCTAGCTGTGTAGCCAGTGCCAGTAGTGATGTGGACTCGCGTGATGACTGCACTGTCCCCCCTCCACCACTCTGGCGTCGGTGCGTAAACGAGTGTTCCAGCCATAGATCTTGATCTTATAATTATATGTATGAATAAATTGTATTCACTGGAAAATTATTGATTTCGTTTATGATATGCCTTAGGGGTAAAATTAAATTTAAAAGATGAAGGTAAATTTAAAAAGATGTTAAAGTCTCAAAATAGTTATAATGAGAATATTTAAAAAAAAACAAAAAAACTGTTTCCGGCAGAGGCCCCCGGAACTCTCAAACCCATTTATTTTCATCAATAAAAATAATATAATAGCACATTTTGGTGCCCCTAACTAGATGGCGCCAGGGGGACATCCGTTTCCCCCTGTCCCACTTCACTACGCCTCTGTTTGGAGGGTATCCCCCCCAAATCTTATTTAGGTGTGTCCCGTTTTTTCCAATACATGATTTGGTCACCCTACCTATCAAGACAGTTTACTTTCTTTTCATTGTGTTTTTTTTTTTATACTCCGTTTAATGTACTCTAAAAAATGGAATGTGTGGGTTAAAAAAAAAGGGGGGGGGGGAGCGAGAGAGAGAGAGAGAAACGTAATAATAATAATAAGGTGGTGATTAAAGTTTTTCGTTTGAAAAATTAGATACAAATTGTGTGAGAAAATAGAGGAAGACAACATATTATTATGTATCAGGCTGCGAGTGGAGGCAGGAAGCTTTGTATTCCCATGACTTGTTGTTGACTATACAAAATGGGAAGAAAATAACGTTTGTACATTTTTTTACAAAAAAAAAAAAAAAAAAAAAAACACGAATACGAATGAAGTTTTAAAGCTTGTTTAAGACCGGAGAGGTTCTTCTAGTTTCTGAGTAATTTAGGAATGTTCATAATATAGGGACATTTTTTTTCATGATCAGATTAAGTTGTACATTTTAACTGACAATTGCAGGGTGATGTCCAGGGTTTCTTTCAGGCATACTTCCCTTAAATAAAATTTAAAAAATATATATTTGTATAAAACACTTAGTCAAGCAGAGACGTCTTGGATGTCTGGTGCTCACATGTGTGTTTCTAATGCCTTTTTATAATTTGATGTTGAAAAGGATATGCATGGATTTCCTTTCCTGAGGTCCTGATTAATATGGAACTCTCGAGTACTGTCTCTGTACTTTGATTTTACTTTTGGAGTTATCCATCGTTATATGTATGAGTCGGATAAGTTTGTAAGGGTCTCCAAGTTCTGCCCTACATCCGATAAAAATGGCAGCATTGCTTGCCCTGACAACCACTTTTGGTGCTGATATATATATTTATTTATTTATTTAGGCATTTTTATATAGCGCTTACCTTAAAGCTCTAAGCGCTTTACAATTATTAAAAAACATGTAAACTAAGTAAAATAAAAATGAGACACTAGGATAGTAACTACTATACTATAGAAACAATTAAAATGGCTATAAAACGAGGACACTTTGGCACAGCGGCGTGCCAAGTTTTAGCACCACCCTAGGTGGGTTAACTTTTTTTGCCGCGCTTCCATTCTGGATAAAAACTCGGCTGTTGTGCAAAAATCCCGCCGCTCAATTGAAAGAAAAAAATGACACGTCGGAACACCAAATATTTGCCCCTCCCTTCTAAGTCACTGGTGTGTGTCTTTGGTGCCAGGGGACAAGATTCATTTTTATCCCCCCCCCCCACGCTATACTCTGAAACCATTATTTTCATCCATTAACACTATAGCCCATAGATGCCCCCGCTAGTCTGACACACGGGGACATATGTCCCATATGCCAACCTTAGCTACGCCTCTTTCTACTGGAACTGCCCCCCCCCCCCGAAAATCTGCCCCCCGGGGGGGGGTTGTCTAAAAGAAATACTGGTGGTGTCTTTCAAGGGCAGGGTTGTTATGTTTATTTTTTTTTCTTTCGATTTTTTTTTTTTTTAAATGAGGCTGTAACAAAGAAATAAATTTTGTTTTCGGGGACATATGTCCCAGACGCCAACCTTAGCTACGCCTCTTTCTACTGGAACGGCCCCCCCCCCCCGAAAATCTGCCCCCCGGGGGGGGATTGTCTAAAAGAAATACTGGTGGTGTCTTGCAAGGTCAGTGTTGTTATGTTTATATTTTATTCTATCGATTTTTATGTGTTATAAATGAGGCTGTAACAAAGAAATAAATTGTGTTTAGTAATTAGGACTGGACTTGGTAGTTTAGTTGGATGTGTTTAAATATTCTTTTTACATGTTTAGGAAAAGCAAATAAATATACTTGAAATTGTTGAAAAGGCGAAAATAAAAAGTGTCAAACACTAATAACATTAAAATTCATTAGTAGCTTTGGTATACATGTAGAGTCTTTATTTTTTAAAAATAAAATACGTTCTAATTTTATAGATCAATATATAAATCATATTAAAATATGTCAACAATTTTGAGTACTTAAACAAGGAAATTAAAAAGGATAATTTCTTGTTGGAAACCCTGTGACGAATCATTTTCTTAATCCTATCCACGTCGGCAACTTTTATCATATCCTATCACTGTCCACAACTTTGATCCTATCCTATCACTGTCCACAACATTCCCCTTTCCTTTTATAGTTTTTTAATTATTTTTTTTCCAACGTAAGAGACTGCTGACAATTATTTGACATCGGGACATTCAGGTATTATGCAGACTTACACACGTTAAAAGATATCGCAGCACTAGACTTGTTGGGATTTAGTCAAACAACAGATGATATGTTAGGGAGAGAGTTGACAAGGGGGAGTGATTCGCATTTCCACAAGTAGAGATATTTTCTGATAGTAAAGATCCCAGTCTTAGTGACATCATGAAGTCAGATATAAGACATCTGACCAATTTAAAAAAAAAAAAAAAGACAAAAAAAAAAAAAAAAAAAAAAAAAATAAAACAAAAAAAAGAAAAAAAAAAAAAAAATTCTGTGAGTGTTCTACCACTGAGCTTGATTCAAACAGGGGTTGAAATGCCTACAAAATTAAAATATCATTTGCTATTTGGCTTCATTTTATTGTTTTAAAATAATTTATTTTGGTAAGGTGGGACTGGGGAGACATGAACACCTTTCTGAATCCATCAGTACAGACTCTCCGTTGCCGTGTCTTCTGACACAAAAGACTATACACTCACTTCTGAAACCAGTCCAACTGAACAACAACACTGCAATTGGACATAGGATAATTGGAAGTCACTGCTGCCGTAAACGAGCGAGACGCTCTTATGGCCATCCTGGCTTGAATAATATTTTGAGAGTATCTATGTTGAAGAATGAGTAGCTCTGTTTTTTTTGAGTACGTGTAAACAGCAAGTATAACAGCAAATATACGAGACCATCTGCTGGCGACATTCAAGCCAACAGCCGACGTCATCCGGGCCAACAACTAACGTCATACTATCCAAAAGGTGACGACATACATGCCAACGGCAGACGACACATGCATAACTTCAAAGCCATTCCAGATTATGCTCAGCTTTATTGTCAGCACACGTCTGGTAGTGCTTGGAGGAATGTTGGTAGGAAAACGCTATTATATTTTCCGGCGGGAAGAGCGGCAGGGGCGAGCACTGCGGAAGATCCGGTGAGTTGCGTTGAGACTTCGGCAGCGGAAGTCGAATTCCCCACGGGAAGGGCAGCCGGTTGTGCGGGTAAGCGGGCAGGTTGCTCGCTGGCGGTATGCTGATGTACTCGTTGGGTAGGATGTAGGTAAGGAACGGAGAAGGCCGGTACAGCACGCGTCTCTCGTGGCAACGTTCGCTGTCCGGTTGTCTCTTCGACTTCTTCTTCTTTTTCACCTCTTTGCCCTTAGTGGCGAGCATCGAGCTCTCGCTGTCGGAGAGCTGGAGGGCCGTGGACTGAGACCGACTGTCAGGCGAGAAGTCGGAGCTCGTGCTTTTGTTTCGGGCCATCCACTGTTTAATGTCCTCGACGTCCATCGTGGAGACGACGTGCGTCCCCGGGTAAATGGTGTCGAACGAGCCCTGCTCACCCCTCAGCTGCAGCTCGCTCGAGGTGACCATCCTCTGGATGAACTCTTCTATGTCGAGGGTGCGCTGCTCGGGATCGAAGGCCTGCTGGTCCTCCGGGTCATTCTTGGGGTTGCTCTCCGAATCTTTGTCGTCGGAGCTTCTCGATCCCGAGTTGTTGTTTTCGTCCCACTGGCCGTGGCATTTTGGGTCAGGATGTTTGCCAGTATGTTGTTTGGCCGGGTGGTGATTATCTGTAGACTTTTGACTTCGCCTTGGAGCCATATGGATTATTTTTGCTTAGACTCTCGCCATGCCAATGAGCCGCACTGTAAACGCGTTAGTTTTTTTGTTGTTGTTTGTTGTTTGTTTGTTTTTTGTTTTTTTTGTTTGTTTTTTTGTGGACGCTAGTTCCAACAAGTTGTTGTGGCAATATGGACGCAGACAGAATTAGAATTGCTCGGGAATGGCTGGGAAAAGAGAAACATTGAATTTTAAAAATAAAAACGATTGTTGTTGTTTTTTTTAAAACAAATCTCTGGGGTTTGGGGAGGGGGGGGCGGGGGGTATTTTATGGTTCAGAGTAATTTCCTATTCAAATACTTTACTGTTTCACCCGATTAAGAAGGCTTGTTTAATAGCTCTTTTAGATAGCCTTAAGATTTTTCGGCATTCAGTATTATAACTATAAGTTAAAATTAAATGATATCTATAAAAGGGCTTTAAGAAAATAAATGATTGGTCACCCCAAAAATTATTGTTTCTAATACCTCATGCCAAATGCTTCTGTAGGTATGCATGTGATTGTGATAGTTTAATACCTCATGCCAAATGCTTCTGTAGGTATGCATGTGATTGTGATAGTTTAATACCTCATGCCAAATGCTTCTGTAGGTATGCATGTGATTGTGATAGTTTAATACCTCATGCCAAATGCTTCTGTAGGTATGCATGTGATTGTGATAGTTTAATACCTCATGCCAAATGCTTCTGTAGGTATGCATGTGATTGTGATAGTTTAATACCTCATGCCAAATGCTTCTGTAGGTATGTATGTGATTGTGATAGTTTAATACCTCATGCCAAATGCTTCTGTAGGTATGCATGTGACTGTGATAGTCTAATACCTCATGCCAAATGCTTCTGTAGTTATGCATGTGATTGTGATAGTCTAATACCTCATGCCAAATGCTTCTGTAGGTATGTATGTGATTGTGATAGTTTAATACCTCATGCCAAATGCTTCTGTAGGTATGCATGTGATTGTGATAGTTTTATACCTCATGCCAAATGCTTCTGTAGGTATGCATATGATTGTGATAGTTTAATACCTCATGTCACATGCTTCTGTAGGTATGCATGTGATTGTGATAGTTTTATTAACCAAACTTGATTAGAATAAGATTTTCTTTACTTTTACTTTTTTAATCATTTACATTAGCTTCGCTAACAAAATGCTGCCCACGGAACCAAAGATTGATACACTTTAATTGATTACTTTAGTTCTCCTAAAGATGGGCATAATCGCATGGGATAGAATTATTTAAATTGCTGACTTACATTAGAAGAGACCATTCACAGACCTAGAGAAGATCAGCTTCCAAGTGCATGTTCGCCGAAAGTAATGTTCAATTTATGGAAAGTTAAACAAATTAATGGAAATCCCCGAATGAAATGCGCATATTTTAAAAGCTCAATTTGCAGCAGTCGTGTACTCAAGCATCATAATCACCACCCCCTTTTATCACGTAAACTTGCAGCAGTCGTGTACTGAAGCATCATAATCACCACCCCCTTTTATCACGTAAACTTGCAGCAGTCGTATACTCAAGCATCATAATCACCATCCCATTGTATCACGTAAACTTGCAGCAGTCGTGTACTCAAGCATCATAATCACCACCCCCTTTTATCACGTAAACTTGCAGCAGTCGTATACTCAAGCATCATAATCACCATCCCATTTTATCACGTAAACTTGCAGCAGTCGTGTACTCAAGCATCATAATCACCACCCCCTTTTATCACGTAAACTTGCAGCAGTCGTATACTCAAGCATCATAATCACCATCCCATTGTATCACGTAAACTTGCAGCAGTCGTGTACTCAAGCATCATAATCACCACCCCCTTTTATCACGTAAACTTGCAGCAGTCGTGTACTCAAGCATCATGATCACCATTCCCATTTATCAACTTGAGTTGGTTCTTTTTCTTCAAATCTTGGATTGAAAATCTAATACACTGGTTTTTAAAGAATGTTCGCCCTCCCCCCCCGTGGAGCCATACACCCACCCAGAACGCCCCGCTGTGAAACCCCCCCCCCCAAAAAAAAAAAAAAATAATTAAAAAAAATAATAACTTCAGACATTTGTACAACATCTTTTTAAAGGTAGGATTATTTAAGCAAATGTTTCAGTTATTACAAATCATCATCAGTGGCGCTACAGCCCCCGTAGGGCCCTGGCCTGCTTCACCACATCATTCCATTCTGCACTGCGCTTCCTAATGTTTTTGTGGGCTTAATAAAGGGATGTTGTTTTTTTCTCCACGCCTCGTATCATGTAACTAAACAAGACTCTTACATGAACATGTTCAAATCCTTGAGTATATATGTATGTATGTATTGCCTTGGAGGAAAGTGAAACAACCACGCTCAGAAGCAATGTTCAACGGAATCGGTTTTTTGGAAATACAAGGAGCTGCTGATCCACTTTCTACAGAAAGTATCATTTAACTGTAACTGAATGAGACACAAACAATTTGTGTAAACAAAACGATGTAGGTTAAGCTTTCCGTTATTCTGAGCTTTGTTGTTGTTGTTGTTGTTATTTGCTTGTTTGTTTGTTTGTTTGTTTGAGGACTTGTGCCAGTTCTTATTCCTTTCTTCTCTTCCATTTTTAGATAGGATATATATATATATATATATATATAATGTGTTCTCCCTTTCCAAACGACTCTTTTATGACTACTGAAACAAAACTGATACTGATAACAATCGATGATACTTTCTGATATCACAAGAGTAGATCAAATTAAAGTTCTTGTTTACTTCTGCGTGGCCTTTGACCTTGGCGAAGGAAAACCACAATGCATACAGAATACAAATACAAAATAATCTCTATAAATCTTATGAAATTTACCGAAAATTGCGCTCCAAGATATGTGCCATGCTGGGTGCACTGCCCCTCCACCCCCCTCTTCCTTCGCCCATGGCGCCCAGGGGACGTTAAAAAAAAATATGTCGCTGGTTTAAACGGCATTTACCACTGCTGCGTAAACATTTAGCTTTGCTAATTGGAAATATGCTGTTGTTAACACCATCTTCTGTACTGTCTGAAAGATCAAATCTTTCGTGGTGTATGCAAAAAGAATAGATACATTCAATGTTTTCAACTAAACCTTTTCAATGTCCATAACAAAAAAAAGCATGTCACTTTATTTTTTAGTGCTAAAAAACTATTTTTATAGTTTTGGGTGATGTAATAAATTCTCAACGCCCTCTTGGTTAATCCTAGCGCCGCCCCACAATCTACATTTTATCACCCTTTGACCCATCCCACCACCCCCCCCCCGTGGCATTCCACCACTGCCTTTTTGGCGGCACCGACCATTTTGTGGACCACATATCTAAAATATATATGTGTGTATGTATGTGTGTGTGTGTGTGTGTGTGTACGCACGTACACAAAATTAATCTTCATCCTTTAAAAGCATGATAACCAAGGGGAAATAACGCTGGTCTAACATATTTAATGAATTATATTTAAGTTATCTCTACTTCAATGAGATTTTTCTCCAATGTACGCGCTATTTTAGTATTGGCTAGAGCGGGTAAGGCAAAATACCTTGTAATTGTTAGCAGCCTTTCGACTTGGGCTTCTGGGTCAGAGGCTGCTCTATTTGGTGCGACCGATTGGAAGTGGTGACCCTTTCCGGAACTACTACGAAGGTTTGTGTTCTTAAAAGCAGTTGCAGGCGGATGGTTAACAGAACATCTCTCCAACTCGAAGCTAGGATTTAACCTATGTGAGAGCGCTCGCCAGTGTGACAGCTGGGATTATTTTTATGATTTAAACAAAAAAAATTAACAAATTTAAATAAAAGATGAATTAAAATGCATTTAATTTGATAAAATAATTATCTTACTATTACGAGTCCCAAAAAATGGGAGGGGTGGGAAGGAGCGTTGCGAAAGAAAGAAAAAAAGGGGGTGGGCTGGTGGTATTGTGAAAGAAAGAAAGAAAGAAAGAAAGAAAGAAAGAAAGAAAGAAAGAAAGAAAGAAAGAAAGAAAGAAAGAAAGAAAGAAAGAAAGAAAGAAAGAAAGAAAGAAAGAAAGAAAGAAAGAAAGAAAGAAAGAAAGAAAGAAAGAAAGAAAGAAAGAAAGAAAGAAAGAAAGAAAGAAAGAAAGAAAGAAAGAAAGAAATTATTAAATTGATTTGAAGCACTTCTGATAATATTCTTAAGTTTACAATTTTAAAGAAATGTGTATACTAATAATTTTGCTCTGAATAAACACTGTCTCTAGTCAAACAGGTGCTGGGGGAATAGATACTGTAAATAACTCTTTAACTTAGATGTTGTGCTCCTACATATTTAGTTTATAGTTTAATGAGTACTTGAAGTTGTCAACTGTGTCCTCAGGTAGGTTATCAGCAGACCACACTTAGTGCCTGTTATGTTTTACTTACATGACTTTTTAAAAAAAATGCACTTGACATCTTGATTTATTTGTAAACACCTGCTGGGTGATGTTGTCTACCATCTTTTCCAGCTAGCTATTATCTCCTAGAACAGTGATTCTTAACCTGGGTTCGATCGAACCCCAGGGGTTCGGTGAGTCAGTCTCAGG